AACCAACTATCAGGTGATATTCCTAGAGAACTCGGGAGCCTTTCGTTTTTGGCGTATATAAGTGTGGCTCATAACCAACTCAAAGGTGTAATACCACAAGCAACACAAATTACTGGACAGCCTAAATCTTCCTTTGAAGGGAATGTGGGTCTATGTGGTCTTCCTTTAGAGAAAAGCTGCTTCACACCACCAACACAACATGCAAAGGAAGATGACGAAGAAGAAGAGGAAGGAGTGCTAAACTGGAAAGCAGTGGTCATAGGGTATGGACCTGGATTGTTGTTTGGACTGTTATTAGCTCACGTTGTTGCTTCATATAGGCCAAAGTGGTTTGTCAAGGTAGTTGGTCCGGATAAGCACAAGGAAGCAGATCCAGTTACATTGTTTATGTCTATGGATTCAAGATGGGACAGTTTTAATTATAAGAAGAGTGTAGAGAGTAATATGTAATATGTAAATATAGTATGTTACGTTGATAAGTTGTTAGTGAGGTAAAAAAGAGGTTTTACAAGTTCTTATAAGCTTTGTTCTCTAAAATGGAAACTCCCATTTGGCCGATGATGTTCTGAAAAAGCTTATGATACTGCTTTGATTCTTCTCCGATATTTCATCCCTTATTTAGACAAACTGGATCAAGGGAAACGTAAAGAGAGTTCAAGACTATAAGATTATACATGTCTCAAGAATATAGATTAGTTTAATTGAAGGCCACTGCTAACCAATAATCATCATCCTCTTTGAGCTTATTTGAAAAATTAAAATGCAGCGACGATAGTGTTATCTATCATCCTCTTTGATTACATGAATAAAACATAAACACATCCGAAGATAAAATTGTTTAACTTTTTTAAGATAACCTGAAAGTGAATTAGAGACAAAGCTCAAACACAACAGACATTAAAATAGTTAAAAAATTTTAACAAAGAGGAGGATGGCAGTAATCTCTCCAATTGGGAGAAAGTTGATAATATCTTCAAACTTGAAAGTTGACGATGATCTCATGGATTCACATATCAGAAGAAACACACTTCTTGACTGAACAAACAGACACAAAAAGATAGTGCAAGAAAGTTTACCGACACTTTACAACTTGAAAGTTACTTGACCAAGTCTTCACCAAATCCACAACCATTTCACTGTAAGGCCATAAATTTTTATATTTAATTTCCCAAGATATTTAAAAGAGAAAAAAAAAAAGAAGTTCCAACTGCCTATGTGAATGTGATTAATCACGCCTCAGTTATTTATTTCTTGTGTCCTTGTCTTTGTTAATAATTTTTTTTTTTTTTAAATTCTTTTCTTACTGTCCCATATAAAATGTAATTTCGTTTACGTCTCAAAAGAATTATAAAGCTTGCTCGAAATAGAAAACATAAACAAAAATAAAGTACATACGAGACTGCATGCTCTTTCTGATTCCATTTTTAAATAAGTTAAAATTGCAACTTGAGTGAAATCAAATGCAAACACCTACTTTTGTACAAATGATAAACATAGAGAGAAACAGAGGCACATGACCAAGGAAGAAGGGATTATTTAAGTAACAAACATCAATCATCGATGGCTCTCTCATGGAGACAGATATTTCACTTATCTCTAACTTCTTGGGAAGATATTTTGTTCTTAGAGCATTTCCATTCCCACTTCTTATTCCACTTCAAAATGGAGTAGGATTAATTGGAGATGCTCTAAGACATGAGATCCAATCCTGTAAAATTACTCCATATACACATTTTTGTTTTTTTGATACTTCTAAAAAGTTTGACTACAAAATCAATTTTAATAAAAAGGATTGAAAAGGGCCAATAAAAGATTAAACTCTAGCAATTTCGGCCCTAATTGTACTCTAGAGCAAATGTGATATAATTGTGCAAACGTATGTGGAATGGTTGAAACTGATGTGAATCTTACCTAAAGTATACGTAAGACGGTAAGAGTCAACGTCAACGTGTACTTCACTTCACGATCTGGTTAGCTCTTCCACGTAAATTTCCTCCAGCTCATATTGCCAAAACCGTCCGAAGACTCCAAGTCTTCGCTGATCAAATTTATATATATATATATACACTTATGCAGGCCTATCTTTTCTTAAAGAATATTATTCTTCTAAAAAGTTTTCCATGATGAATAATACGTCATGTATGCATTTGCATTTTCTCTTGGTACTCTTACTCTGTTGTGCCTTTTCTTCAAGCTTCTTAATGACAAATGCAGATTTTTCTGGAGATGATGCGTGTCATCCTGACCAGAACCGAGCTATTGAGAAGTTCCAGAGTGAGTTTGATTCCCACACTTGCAACGACAGCGCCTTCGATGACTTTTACAACTGTGATTACACGACTGGTGCTATCGTAGAGCTAACACTCTCAAGTGGCTGTCTCAAAGGAATCTTGAAGCCCAACAGCAGCCTCTTCGGGTTGCATCATCTTCGTCGCCTTACTATCTCTAACAACAACTTCAAGTCTTCTTCACTCCCTTCCGGATTCAGCAGTCTAAGCAAATTACAGTCCTGACTCTTTCCTCTAACGGCTTCATAGGTCAACTCTCTTTCTCATTTAGTAACTTGACCCAGCTTTCCGAATTGGACCTTTCCAATAACGAGCTCACCGGTAGTACTTTCCCACTTATACAGAATCTGAGTAGACTCTCCTATTTAGACCTTTCCTCTAACCATTTGTCTGGAACTTTAGATCCTAGCCTGTTCGGGTTGCATCACCTTGTTGAAATTGATCTCTCTAACAATAACTTAGTTTCATCCTCAGTTCCTTATGAATTTGGCAATCTCTACAGATTAAAGGTTATGAATCTTTCCAGCAATGGTTTCCAAGGTCAGCTTCCGTCATTTAGTAACCTAAGTGAGCTTATCTTACTGGAACTTCAAAATAACGAGTTCACTGGTATCAGAGAGCCTTTCCCAAAGCTCACTAACCTCGAGGAACTCGACCTATCTTTCCAGAACATAAGCTACCCAATTGACTTAAACGCCTTTTCCTCTCTTGAAAATCTGGGGACACTTGTTCTTTCAGGGAACAGTATATCGCCAGCAAGTTTTAGTTCAAATTCATGCCTCCCGTTGAGCATAGAGTGGTTGGTTTTGTCAGGCTGCGACATCCATCAGTTCCCAAACTTCTTGAAAGGCTTTCAGTCCTTGGACGAAGTGGACATCTCCAACAACAAGATCAAAGGGAAGATCCCTGAGTGGTTTTGGAATCTTCCTTATTTGAGCTCAGTGAATCTTGCTAATAACTCATTCACAGGTTTTGAAGGTTCGGCAGATGTTTTAGTGAATTCATCGGTTACGCTTTTAGATTTGGATTTAAACCAATTTGAAGGACCACTTCCTAATCCACCACACACTCTCAGCCAATTATCTACATGGAACAATAGATTCACTGGGAGGATACCTCTTGCATTCTGCAACCTAAGCTCTCTTACCCTTCTTGATCTCTCCTACAACAACTTCACCGGCTCAATTCCTCGATGCCTGCGTAATTTTCAAAGCTCTCTAACGGTTTTGAATCTTCGGAAGAACAACTTGGAGGGAAGTCTTCCAGACATGTATTATAATGGTTCCTTGCTTCAGACAATTGATGTTGGCTACAATCAGCTTACCGGAAAGCTTCCAAAGTCTCTTCTCAACTGCTCCTCTCTAGAGTTTCTGAACGTTGAGAAGAACGGAATCGAAGACGCATTTCCTTTCTGGCTCAAGGCGTTACCAAACTTGCAAGTTCTTACCCTCAGTTCAAACAAATTCTATGGTCCCATCTCACCTCCTGGTCAAGGCTCTTTTGCGTTTCCCGGGCTGCGTGTACTTGAAATATCATACAACAACTTTACTGGAAGCTTGCCCTCAAATTACTTTGATAAGTGGCAAACATCGTCATTCAACAAAGACCAAGATGGGCCTATTTATATGGGAGAATTCAAGCATACTTCTTATAGCTATACAGACACTTTGGATTTGAAATACAAAGGCCTACACATGGAGCAAGAGGGTGTCCTCACTTTCTACGCCACCATTGATTTTTCTGGAAACAGACTTGAAGGACAAATTCCTGAATCCATTGGTACTATGAAGGCACTGATTGCTCTCAACTTATCCAACAATGCCTTCACGGGTCATATTCCTCTGTCTTTGGCTAATGTTACCGAGCTTGAGTCACTTGATCTGTCAAACAATCAACTCTCAGGGACCATTCCCAAAGGACTCGAGAGACTCTCGTTTCTGGCGTACCTAAGTGTTGCTCATAACCAACTCAAAGGTGAAATACCACAAGGAACACAAATCACTGGTCAGCCTAAATCCTCTTTTGAAGGGAATGCAGGACTTTGTGGTCTTCCTCTCGAGCAAAGTTGCTTCGGGAGTAATACACCACCAATCCAACAACCAGAGGAAGAAAAAGAAGAAGAAGATGAGGAAGTGATGAACTGGAAAGCAGTGGCAGTAGGGTATGGGACTGGAGTGTTGCTTGGATTGTCAATAGCACAAGCCATTGCATCATACAAACCGGAGTGGCTTGTCAAGATAACTGGTCTGAACAAGCGCAGAACCCGTTAGGATCAATCCGTTATCGGTCTAATAATGGAGCAATTACGTGGGATAATTTTCTTTGTATGTTTGCCCAAAGCTTTGTTCTGTTTCCTTTTCTATAATGTATTGAAGTCGTATTTATAAATATAACTAGTTTTCTGGGTATGTGTTGATAACTTGATGTATCTCTTTGCCATAGCAGATGACAGACACTTCAATTCGCAGGGAGTCATTTATACATTGTCTTGCATTATATATTTGCATACTTAGAGATTATCCGTGGACTGCACCTCCGCTTGTAGATTAGTGTAGATCCTTCCATAGACCAAAAGGTCTGGTTAATTAAAAAAAAGTATGGAGTTATACAATACAAAGAGAGAAAACAGAGCCAAGAGATGTATCCTAAGATTTTTTTTTTTTTTTTTTTAAGAATCAAAAGCTAACAGAACTAAAACAGAGTTGGTCTTTTCAACATAAAATTTTACACAAACCAAATTTACTGTTACAAAAAAGAAAAAACACACTCCAAAAACCTCAGTACTGTATTACACTCTGATCTCAAATTACACCGAGATTCCTCCACTGCCTGTAACATCATCTGGAGGACTAATCGTGATCCAAAGCAACGAGACAGTAATAGACACAAGCCCCGACCAAACATAAACAATCGTTGGAACCTTCCCACTCCTACCCATCAACCCTTTACAAAACGGATACATATGTGTCAACACCCACATGCTAAAAAATATCCCTCCAAACAACTTACTCCACTGTGGAATCACACTATATATCGTCCTCGAAGCTCCAATCACAATCGCAACAAGGTTCACTACAATGATCGTAAGCGGCATGATGAACAACCCCGTCCACTTCACAACGTAGAGATCCGCAAAGACATCGTCTTCGTCTTCTCCCGAAGCTTTCGACGTGAGTGTGAACGAGATTTCGATTCCGGCTATTACTTTCAGCAAACCTTGAACAACTGCTGCAAGATGAGCACTCGAGCCACCGATTAGCCAAAACTGTTCGTTTCTCCACCATTCTTCTAGTCCTATCCCCGACCATTTGACTTCGAGGAGGGAGATTAGAGTTAAGGTGACGGTGATGCAGAGGAGGTAAGAGAGGAAATGAACGTCGAGGCTCTGGACGATGAATTTTCCGGAGAAGAGACATAGTGCTGGTAGGAAGCAGTAGACGACCAAGAAGATTGAGGTGAATGGGTAGATACCGACGTTTAGGTAAGCCATTCGCTGGAGAAACTTGAGCCTTCGGGTGGCGAAAATCGCGTTGTTTTTGGAGAAGAAGATCTCTACGGAGCCTGTGGCCCAACGTAGGACTTGGTGGAGACGATCTGTGAGATTGATGGGAGCTGTGCCGCGGAAAGCGTCACGTTGTGTGATGCAGTAAATGGACCGCCAACCACGGTTATGCATACGGTAACCCGTCACCACGTCTTCGGTGACCGACCCGTATATCCATCCGATTCTATCTCCCCATTCCGTATTGTCTTCGTACCTGAAAAGTCGACAGTAAGATGTGTATCTTGCGGATCAAGATTATAAAACCCAGGAAAATTTTGAAAAATAAATAGAAAGACTTGACGAACAAGCGAAAATTATTATTCCTCGAAAGATGTGTAACTTACGGACCAAGTTTATAAAACCCAGGAAAATTTTGAAAAATAAATAGAAAGACTTGAAGAACAAGCTAATATTAATATTATATTTTCCATTTACTGACAAAAAAGCATATAAGTTGTTTTGAAACCTTACCAACATGAAATGACAGCAATAGCTTCAGCTACAGTAGGAGCATCAAGGGGGGGTCGTGGCAAGAGCAAAGCACCAGGTGGTCTTCCGTTTTCAATAGACATATGATCTGCTAGAGGCCGTCCTTGGTACTCTGCCACTGGAATAGTGTCTGTGAAAATGGTCGAGTTACCAAACTTTTTGGGAAGACCAAGATCTGGATCATCGGAAAGAGGCTGTGTATCTGACTCCAAATCAGATGATTCGGACATTCGTGACGCTTGGGACTGTGTCCTGACATGCATAGCCGGGGTCTTTTCCTGACCAAACACGCCGTTGTACTCGTTAGCTCTAGGTGGGTTGAATCCATAAAGAGCGTACCTTCGGAACATACACCCTGTTCCTACGTAGACCGGGCCTTGTAATCCATCTAATGCTCTCATGTTACCTGTTTCAAAACCCAAAAATATAGTTAGCTTGTGTTACAAGCATTAAACTAAAATTATGTTTTATAATTAAAGAACTAACCGTCGAAGAAGACAGTATTGTGATTTGCATAACGATCTGATGGGTCAATTCCTTCAAACCTTTGGGGAAACTGAATGTAACATATTCTATCACCACCTCTGTCCATCATGAAACACATTCCTTCTTTGATAGCTTTAGAGTTGTAAACGTAGTGATCACAATCCAAATTGAGGATAAATGCGCCATTGGATAATATGGCTGAAGCTCTAACCATACCATTCATAGCACCAGCTTTCTTATTATGGTCAAAACCTGGACGTTTCTCACGTGATACATACGCAAACATCGGTACTCGAATATCAACCCCTGTGAAATCTAGCGCTCCTTCGTTCGGTCCACCCATAACCGGTTCAAGCTCAGGCACTTTACTCATAATCTACAAATAGGATTCAAAGTTTTAGTAAAGTTTCTTGGTTTTGATTCAAACAGAAGTTCTCATACCTGTAGGATTCCTGCGTGGTCTCCTTTTGAATGATCAGGTTTAGGTTCAAACCATGTTCCTGGCCAATGTGTACCATCAGCCATCCACGTTGCTTTTACAACCTCAACACCATCTGGTGGCAATACGCCGCCGTTTTTCTCTTTGGCTATGCGTTTCTCCTTGAGCTCTTCTCTCTTGTTGAACTGCTCAGCTCTTTTCTTGATTTGTTCTGGTAGACCATTGATCCTGACTTTGAATTCGTCGTACTCACGCTTGATCCAACGACGATCTTTGACGAAATCTTGCTTCTTCTTGTTTTTAGTTGGATCTTTCTTGATGCTGAAGTAACTATCAGGGTTCCTTGGCTCTATGTCATGTTTTCTACAAAACGGCACCCAATACTGCAAAAAAAAAGAAAGAAGTCTCATCATCTCTCAGAGCTAGACAAGACGCAGAGGAAAAGAAAGTGAAAATGAAACCTCGGCGAATCGAACAGCTTCAGCCATGGCTTCAAAGGTGAGAATGGCACCACCATCATCTGAAATGTAAGCTGAAAGCTTCTCTATTGGATAATCCACAGCGAGGATGGATAAAAGAGTGTTGGCTGTGACTAGAGGCGGTTCCTTTTCCGGGTCAGCCGTGGAGACAAACACATCAACACCAGGAAGATCAGAGCGACCTGTAGGGTTTGAAGGAGAAGGCTGCTCAAACTTGTCATGCAAGGTAGCTAGATCCGTTGCTCTGTTTATAGGGTTTAGCTTTGGAAGAATGTCAAGAATCCAAGAGAAAGCGAACCAAATCTCACACACTATAGATAGTCCCCATAGCCACATTGCATCTTCATTAGGATTCGTAACACGCCACCATAGGAAGAAGAATAGTATCACAAGACGAAGCATGATTAGTAACCTGAAAACAAAGAAAGATGTTGAAGTTATGTAATAGATATTTAAAGAACAAGAAAATCTTGAAGGGGTTTAAATGTGAAGAATTAAACCTGTAAGGACTAAGCACTTTAGCAGGGATTTTAACTTTTCTTGTGAGAGGCTTCCAAGGTTTGTCTAAAAAATCTGACATGCTAACACCACCTTCACCATCATCATCATTTTCAGGCCAATAAGCATTTCCTATACCATATTTTCCTTTATTAGTTTCAAACAACCATCTGTTATGATCAAAGTCTCCTGTCTGACTCCTCAACAACATTGACTTGTTATTAGACTTCATCACGGATAGTCTCCTCTCCATCTTATTCCCCGTCTTGGAGGAGCCGTCAGGTTTAGAGTGTGAGGTGGAGGCAGAGGCAGAGGAGGACCCAGCAGGTTGGTTGTCAGGTGTAGGAGGCATGAGGACAGTGTAGTCGATGTAATCATTGTGGCCGCTGGAGGAGGAGTACTCGCCAGGGACGTCCATGTCATAGTCTCGAGAGAGGCTAACGGTGCGGCCACTGGACGTCCGGCGAGTAAACTTGACGGCTTGAGGAGGGGGAGTTAAGGAAGAGGAGGGTTGTGAATTTAAGGTATTTTTGGGTGGACTTGAAGCCATTACAATAATGGAATGTTTGGTTTCTTGAGCTCATTTTTTTCTTTTTTCGACAAATACCTGATTTAGCAGAAAATTGATGTTTCCCAACGGTTGATAAGATCTTTTTTTCTATTCTAAGAAAAACAGAAAATCTATCTACTCTGAATCTCCTGTATTTAAGCTGTACCTCTCTCTCTCTCTCTTTCTTACTATAGTTATGTATGTGAAAGCTATTTGAATGAAGGCATTACAATAGATCCATCACAGCTCTGAGAAAACTAAAGATACAGACAAAACACCAATCTCTACTACTTCTACCTTCATCATTTTCCCCCTAAATTAACTAAACAAACAATAAGTGAATGTCAGAGGTTACAGACACTAGAGCTCAAGCTGAAGGACCAGAACTTCATAGGAAAAAATCATGAGCTGAACCGGTTAGACTAAATAGAGTTAAGTTCATGTCAACCGTGTAGATTATGCTATATACCATTCATAAAAATCAACAGAAGTCAAAAATTAAAAAGACCAAAGCAAACACAAGCGTGCAAATCAGGCCCAAAGTAAATGGTTCGCAAGAATCAGTTTCATACATATATATATGACCTATACAAAACCAATTTTGAAAAGTACAAATCTAAGCAGAGAAGAAACATAGCATGAGAATGTTTAAACCACAGGAAGAAGAAAAAACCAGCACAACAAACTGAATGAGGATGTTCTCGGAAACCAGAAATGTTCCCATGCTTATTATTTGCCGCAGTTGAAGCCACCGCAGACTGAGAGGACGATGATGAGGATCAAGGCAATGATGATCGCAAGAACAATGAGCTTTATCTTCATGTTCTGGAACCACATCTTTCTTCTCATTTGTGTTCCTTGCGTTCTGAAGTCTTGCGCCTGTACACAGTTTTTGAGTTCCAAGAGAAAAACAGTTAGAGAGTGACTGCAACTCAAAGTAAGTTTGTGTGTATAGATGTGTAACCATTTGCGTAAGAGAACTAACAAACCTGTGAGCGAAGGTTTTCGGTTTTGTCCACCAAAAGTTCGATTTTCTCACCACGGTCAAGAACCTACAAATCAATGAGAATAAACGGTTAAACAATAGGTTAGAAACATAAAACTCATAAATCAAAAGGGTGAGAAACAAACCTTCTCAATGTTTTCCATCATGACACCTTTAACTTCAGAAACTTGAGCTTTAACCTTAGCAAGCTTGCTAATCTCATCAGGATGATCCATACAATACTGCATGTGCTCTTTCAGTTTCGACCTTCACATCACCCAAAAAGAACTCACACCATGAACAATCAAAAACTTCATTCAATAGAAATGAAAAGAGATCATCAAATATAATAAAGTACCCAAACTCCTTATTCAAGCTGTTGGCTTGAGCAGTAGCAGCCTTTCCACCACCATATCTCTTGTTAAAATCCTCCTTAACTCTCTCCAAAAACGCCATAGGAATCTGCCTCCCAGCAGAATCAACCGCAACAACACAATACGCTACACAACAACAACAAAAACAAAAAAAGGTTAAACCTTTATATCCATAATAAGATATAAAACAGAAGACACACATCAACACCACCTGAAAACCCAATCCACCAAACCCCTTAAAAATGAAAACTTTTTTTTTATGAACATAAAAATGAAAACTTTAACCACACAGAACCACAGATCCAGACCAAAGTCTTGTCCTTTCTATTACAAAACCCACAGATCAGATCTAAAATGCTCAAATCAAAGCCAACAAAACACCAGATCGGGACTTACTGAATCCATTTTCAACCAAGTAATTAAAGGTATGACCATCGCAGTTGTAAGTGAACTTGTTGTTGGAGGAAGGAAGCTTTTGGAGGCACTGTGCAGCGATGGATGTGAAGTTCCCTTTGAAATCTGTGAACTCCACGAGGATCACCGTTCCTCTAGCCACGAAACTGTAGATCAACGATTGTTGCTGCTGCGCCATTTTTCTTTTTGTGTTCTCTATTGAAATGAAGAAACGACGCTGTTTCGATGGGTTTTATTTTGACTGATCAGAGAGTTTTCTTTGTTATATCAGCGGTGAAGAGAAGATCTAGAAAGAAAGACTATAACGCTGAAACGCGTAGAGAGAATCGATGACTAATGAAAATGAGAAGAAGACGGTGAAATGAAATTGAATTTAAGGACTAGACGAGTAAAATTCAGAACAGTATTGTAAACTTTGTGATATTTAAAAACATTAAATGAGGGACTAATATAGTAAATTTCGATATTTTATAATTAACATGTGTGTTCCTGATAAAAGTTGGTGATGTTGGTATTTCAATGGTTTTCAACTTTCAACGTATATCCCAGCGACATTTTGAATTGTATGATTAAAATATAATTTATTTTATTATTAAAAAGTTTTTTTATCTGTATATTGAGAAAAATTTTATCGCTGGGTTTGGTAATAAGTTTAGATGTTTTAAGTTTGGGCATCTGTACAAATAAAATTAGTGTATTTGGGTATTCTCGAATAATTTTTTTTTTTTTTTTGGTAAAAAATTCTCGAATAATTTAGATACAATAACTTACACTTCGAGGTTTATGAGAAGTTTGATTACATGCACCCATGTCTGCTTTGCTCCTCTTTGGTCAAGTATATTCTGGATTTATACTTGCAAGTTAATCATTATATTTTGCCAACATATAAGTTTATTAGAATATCTGAATTCCTGTATGTACATCCACACCTTACTTAAACTCTCTTAGAGTAAGTGATATTTCCATATATTAAGGGATTTTCCAAATGCAATATCTTTTTGTTCTCTACAGGAAAACAAACAACAAAATGTATGGTTTCAGTAGTCGCTGGTTGAAAGGAATGGACCAGCGAACACTAGTTCTTAGTGCATGAGAAGGTAGCAAGATTCTATCCCTAGACAGAAAGGACAAGAAAACTAATGTGGTAAGAGAGGCTCAACCTCAAGATCACTCAAAAAGGACAAAAAGTAATGGGGCGAGAGAGGCTCGAACTCTCGACCTCAGGATCACTCAATAGCTATGAGACCTACGCGCTAGCCAACTGCGCCACCGCCCCAGTTGTTTATCAACGACATTTATTTTAATTTCTCTTTTGCTTATTATTATACAACAACAAAAGTCGTTTGCTTGAATATTTAAAAAAGAAATTTTAGAACAGTTGGTGGCATCTGAAAAACTTCTACAAGTCTACAATATCCAGAAACAACAGAACTTCGAGAAGAACAATATTATACATACAAGATTCCCCTTCACGTTCTAAAATACAAAATACTAAAGACATAACCTGGTCAAGAAGAATAAAAGACTCCGGCAAACATTCGTTCTGCTTGCTTTATTCAAACAACTATAATAAACTGAAGTAAACAAAGACCAGATTCTCTCCAAGGAGAACTATAGAGCTGAGATAAAATATTGGAGTGAGGGTTTTCTTGGTAGTTGAACACATCATAACATTTTTAACGAGCGTCCTTGGACAAAAAGCCTTGCGATTCAACTTTCCTTGCGTTGCGAAGCTCATCAACTCCATCTCCTCTCTCGAACACAGCCGCTGCACCCATCCCCGTACCTGCCAGATTTTTCCCAATCAACAAAACAACAATACAATTTTCAGAAACCAGTTTACAGAGTGTGACTGAGACTATTGAGTGAGTGAGAGAAAAGAAGCATACCAATGCACATTGACACTACTCCAAATCGACAGTCTTTTCCACGGCGTTTCATCTCGTGCAACAAAGTAGCAACGCAACGTGCTCCTGTAAGACATTTAAATAAACATTAGCTAATCTTGGTCTCTTAGCTACAGGTCTATTGTATCCAGCCCAGGACTGAATGTAGCAGATTAGAGAAGTTTTGAGTAGGTTAGAACGCAGTTTGTGAAGGCATAACTGTCAAGATGCCTCAGCAGATTCAGCTGTTTGGGTGCGGATTACCAAGGGTTTGGTTGAGAGTTTAGACTCACTCATTAACCAAGTCTCATATGGTTTGTGAAATGAATAAGAATAGTAGTTTTGTAGGTCTGTTCTTATATACCTGTAGCGCCCAAAGGATGTCCTATGGCCATGGCGCCACCGTTGACATTGATTTTCTCCGGGTCAAGTCCTAGCTTGTTACGGCAATAAACAAACTGAGATGCAAATGCCTGAACACACACATGGAGTCAAACATATGCTTATCATCAGAAGTTTTTGGAAAATGATATGTGGTAGGAAGATCCTGGAAGTGTTTTGCTATTTACCTCGTTGATCTCAAACAAGTCGATGTCATCGAGTTCCAAACCAGCAGCCTTAACTGCAGCAGGTATGGCAACTGCTGGACCAACACCCATGATTGCTGGGTCGACACCAACAGCAGCAAATGTCCTGCAATTTTTCCAATACTGTGTCACTTAGGGAAGCCCAGAAATGAAGGGAATTACAGAAAAAAACAATGTATTCTCTAGATACTAGCAGATATGTGTAAATGGACATCGCAAGCATCTGCAGACTTCTACTGTTATAGCTTTGTCAATATTTATCACCAACCTGAATACACCTAGAACGGGAAGTCCTTTCTGTGTAGCAACACTTCTCCTCATGAGGAGAACCGCTCCTGCACCATCACTAACTTGGCTGGAGTTTCCTATTTGAGACAGAACATATCAAGCAAGGGATTCAGAATTGTCATATTACAAACTGAAGTCTCTGCAATGAAACAATTGATTCGGGAAAAGTACCAGCTGTTGTGGTTCCATCCTTTTTAAACACTGGCTTCAGCTTGCCAAGAGTAGCAAGGGTTGTGGTTGGTCGGATCCCATCATCAACGGAAACTGTAATGGGTTTCTCATCTCCTGTCTTTGGGTCAACAAGCTGAAACAGAAAACACAAGTTATTGTACGAAGAGGAGTCTTAAATGTTAACAGTTATTGTATGAAGGATCTAGAAAATACCTTGGTTTTAACCGGAATGATCTCATCCTTGAATTTACCAGCAGCAGTAGCAGCAGCTGCCTTTCTGTGCGAGTCAACCTAACAATATGATTTGATAGCTTAGTACTTATGGGTTTATCTAAAGGTACAA